TATAATATAATATAATAATAATTATTGTCATTTTTCTTTGCCGAGAGTTTAGCTCGGCACAATTTTGTCCAGGGCTTAGACAGGAGACTTGGCTGCTGAAGCGAATTGGGGGTCTTCAAGCTTTCATTGTGTTTGCGGGGACGTTTCCCCCTGACTGCGATGACAAGCCCCCCGTCTACCCCGTTTCGGGCTGACGCCAACTCGGACAGAGACAATGGCGTAGCGCGGAAGCGCAGGGGGAAGGGAGCATGTTCTCCTCGACCCCAGACACCCAGCAAGCAAGCAAGCCCGGCGCAGGAAGGATGAAGATCCAACAGGAGTTGAGTGAACACTGCCTCACAGTAGCAGGATGCATGTCGACCTGGCATTTACAAAAGCCAAGCTAGCGAATGCCAGCAGGTGGCTGTGAAGCCTTCCAGCGCGTCTTTGCTGGAGCAACGGCCTGAGGAAATCAACGCGCCCGCAGGTCATAATGAGCTTTCTGTGTCTGTCTGCTTCATCTTATTGCATGATGCTTGCAGTCTCAGGGCCCTTTTTCCTGCACTGCATGGATTATTCCAAAGTTGGCAGTGAGAAGCAAAGCCCGCTTGCTCGGGCAATTGGCAGGGAGAGGGCAAGCATTGATTGGCCGCAGGTGGCATTTCGTCCTGCATTCCCTGCCTGCCGATAGGTGGGCCGGATGGTGTGTTGACAGCAGGTCAGACGCAGAAGCTAAAACTCTAGCATGAGCTGTCAGCGTGTTTTGCTCTCGTGGGTGCAGATGCCTTCAGCATATGCAGCATGCCATGTCTTTGCTGATACTGGACCTGCTGACAGTCCTTACAGCGGCGGATGCTACCATGGCAGGCTTCGTGCAGCCTCTGTGCAACAATTTGGTATTCTTGATCGGTACGTGTCTCGAATTGTATCACTTGATCTGTGCTTTGAATCAGAGAAGTGCTGCAGGAGTTGTGTAGGCTAAGCCGCTATCCATCCCAACATGGTAGTGTATTGATTTGCTCGCTTTGTGGAGGCTTCTATTTCCCAACGGTTACCCGCATGCCCCACCGACAGTGGCAGCTTGGTGCAAGCAGATCTGGTCCGCTTCCGACTAAACTGGGGTTTCTGTTTCCTCACGTGGTTCCTTTAAAGGGTTCCTAAGGGTAAGAGTTTTTGAGGGCTTGAGATTTAGGGTTTGGGCTCAGGGTTTAAGGTTAAGGGTATAGGGCTGGGTTTAAGGTTTGGAGCTTTGGATTCGTTTAAAGGTTTAGGGGGCTTTGGATAGCCGTTTTAGAGTGTTGTTGCAGGTCCTCGGATTGCTCTGAACACAAGACCTCACAGTCTCCAAAGCAGAAGCCGATCTAGCTCCGCTGAGGTCATGGTGACCCCAAGTGGGCGGCTGGAGACGGGTTGCCGCTTGTGCTTCGAGCTCAGACTGCAGCACACTTCAAGGTTCGACAGAAGCCATGCCTGTCGTAATCGAGATCCATTTCTGTTGATGAAGCCTTTCGTTCCAGGTCTGAGCATGACTGACTTTCACCCAGAGGCTCTGCTGCATTCCTTTCATGGTCTTGGCCGCGTTTACAGCTACAGCAGTGCAATTGCATGTAGGATGGACTCTTCTGCCCAGCGCTTCCCTTCTCGAGTAATGCTGAGCTGTCAGTCTATAGCTGATCCAAACATAGCAAAGCCTCCCTTTGCGCAAGCACCTGTGTCAGAGCTGGAATCCGGCCTGGTCCGTTGACACGATCCTGACGGGCTTGTTGTCCTACTTTCTCTCTGATGCAGAATCGGGCTGAAACCTCAGACCACAGCAGGAATGTTCGCAATGCTTTGGGGGGTACTGTCTCTGAGATGTGCTTGTTGTCAGGCTGTGTCAGCAGGAATATGTCCATGCTTTGCGCATAAGTGATTGGATGCCTTGCCGGCTGCGGTTTCGATACCCTCCGGAGTGTGTGACAGCTCCCAGGCTATGGATCGATCAGGGCTTCCTGGGAAACGCGGCGAGCGTTTGCAGAAGAGTCCTGGGTCCCTCGCTTTGCAGTGATACGGTGATACGGGACACGTCTTCTCATCAGTCTTATGCGACCATGCATGGCCCGTTGACTGCACCAAGCAACATAAGCCATTGTCTGGTCAAGGCCCACAACCTCTCAGACCCCGACTTTACGCAGCTCTTTCCGGAGTTTCGCAGCCCTCAGCAGAGGTGCCCAGCACTCCTGCAGCATGTGCGTCTGTGGAAGAATTCCGCTTCAGCACACGTCCTTTTACGTAGCGTGTTCCATCTGAGTTCTCTGGTAATCTGACGGAGCACCGGCGGCTCATGAGCTCTGACTGCAGTTTGCCCTCCGCTCGACAAACTTCCAGCCAGAAGCTCAGGCTTGGCATGTGCTGCTTTGATCCTTTCAAGCATTGGGTGTGGGCCTGCGTGATGAATCCATGTTAGTCTCATGGGCGTGTGTCCCTGGAATCATTGGGTCCTCTTAACATGCCTACTCTTTGCGGCTTGGCCCAAGGAGCAAGACCCCGCAAGCCTGCTTCAGCCCGATGTTTGTGAGAAGCTTGAGGTGAACTGCGCGTAAGAAGGGCTCTCCCGGAATGCCCGCGGGTTTCTCACAGCTTCTCGGGATTCTCAAAGTCGCTCAAAAGGAAAGTGTTGTGTTCTTGCCAGTTCTTGCATTGAAAGCAGACCGTGTCATTCAACCAGTGCCCTGATGAGTCCCGGATAGAAGGATTGTCAGACAGTGGTTCCCCTGCTGCTGGCAGAACCGAGGCCAGACAGAATCGCAGGCCAGTGCGCAACAGGGCTCAAGGTTCTGAGGTCTTGGATGGCTTAGTCAGGCCGACTCAAGCTCTTTGCAGATCTGGAATGCTCTCACACGAGCCGTTTTGCTCTTGAGAGTTTCTGTGCCCAACAGGCTCGAGAGTGCTGGATCTGTCGAGATTCCGGCCCCGAACCGCTGATCTACCCTTGTGCTTGCCGCGGGTGCGCCTGGCCTGCTGAAAGCCCAGCCTTTTCTGCAGAGCTGTGACGCAGTCCCATTGAGTTTCGCATTGGACATGGTGACGGCCCGACGTCAGCCCGGATGCTTCCATCATGTTGCAAGCAATGCCGAAAACATTTTGGACCGAAGTTTTGGTGTGTGGTGCTGGCCGAGCACTACCTTCATGTGCCCGGCCTTAGAACATGGTCACCAGTTTGTTCTGCACTCGTATCAGCGCTAGATTTGCGAGGTTTTTTGCCCAGCATCGATTACTCCTTTGCCTTGCGTTCATTTCCTAATGTGTGAGTGTTGCAGGTGATGAGGCGCCGACGGCTTGTAGCCTTGGCCGTGACTTTCCTGCGATAGTACTCTGAGGGGTGATGCAGAGTTGCTCCACCGTGGCGTTGCAAGCCGCCGCCGAGAACTTCCGTTGCGAATGTGTGAATTGCAGAGCTGCAAGTTTCTCTATGTTCGTTCGAGGTATGGCCTGTGCTGGCTCTTCTTTGGCCGCAGAAAGTCTTTGTCGTCCCGCGAGTGTCCTGGGTACAAGATAGTGACAGTGTCTTCTGGTGAAAATCTCTGTGAGTCGCGACGAAGCACAGCGGAGCACACGAAGCTGAGGCTGAGGCTCCAGGGGCCTCGGATGCGACATCCAGCTTTCATTATGCAGAATCCAAGGCTCCAAGCCTGGAGGAGGTGCCTTGGCTTCCTCGGTTCGTAAGATCTGAGATTTCTCTCCATGGGTTTGTAGGCTCCGGAGATGAGCTATGTCTCCACCGTCCGGTCAATGGCAGGCTTGCGCCTTGATGGGTCTCTAAAACCGGAGCTTGCCATGCGAATGCGAGCCGAAGAGGCGTGGTGCTGGGTCTTCTCTTGGCCGTGGCTGCAGCCGCATCTGCGATGGCAGAGGACGGCTCGCCGACAGGCGCGTGTCGTCTAGCAAACCTTCAGGCCCCTCCAGGGTCAGGGCTGTGTATCGCGAAGAGGCTTTGCAGAGTTCGCCCGCAAGGGAGGCAAGATGGATGCCGTGCCTGAGCTGAATTGGCAGGTGGTGCGCATGTTTAGTTACACTGTGCACATGAAGACAACTGCGCGATGCTGTCTGGCTTGGGTTGCAGTTCCGGGAAAGCATCACTTCCATCAGGACGTTGGCTGCTTCTTCAACCAGTGTGGGAAGCAAACAAAGGCCGCACATTGACATCAATCATCTCATAGTAGTCATGCTGTGACAGAAGACGCCCAGTCCACAAGAGACTTAGACTTGCAAGCCAATCCCAGCACTTCGTCGTACAGTACTCAGCAGGCGTGCTTTGTTGAAGACGGGCGATGTTTGTATCTTGGTTGCACCAATTGGACAGCAGGTGTGCGGAATTTGAAAACAAGCTCAACGAGAATCAGAGTGAAACAACCCTGTGCCTTGTCAGCTGTTCGCGATCTTACGATTTTTAAAGTCCCTGCTGACTCACGATGACTCGGAGGAAAGGCGCCACATGTCTTGCGAGATGTCGCGGAGACCCAGATGCTTGACGACACATGGAACGGTTTTACTACGGCAACATTCGGGTCCAGTAGCTCTGGCGCAGAGCAGTAGCATACACAGCACTCTGCAACCTAAGCGGTCGGGTAAACGCTATGTCGTGCGGCACTCACGGAGCGTGCTTTTTGAAGGATTGCGCCACGCAGTGCTTTGCAGAATTTGGCTGTCCCAGGCAGGACCATTTTGAAACTTGCTTGTATTGCCTCCAGTCACCCAAATACCCTCCTGGAGGCTGGATGCCTGGCTGAACTGCACAGTTGAGAAGGAACAGTGTGTCAGCGTTCCCGCTGGGACTTACGTGCCTCGGATGCTAAAGTCGTTCCGACAGCAGACCTCAATCCCAATGTGGATCTTCAGTTCAAAGCAGGGGCTCTTCACTGATGAAGGTTCTGTCCATGCAGCATCATGCAGCAGCATCAGAATAAGGACGTTCGGAAGTTCTATGCCGAGCAAGTCCCAACCAAGCTCAAAGACTTCGATGTTCGCAAGCTAGAAGGCAAATGGTGCCATGGAGTGATTCAGCTCGTGTGCGGCGCTCTCTCGATCATCTCCGATATAGTCGCTGCGGAGATTTCATGCAAATCCAAGGTACAAAGTCCGTGGCTACAACAAGAAGTACGACTGCTATCCATGCCAAACAAACGTTTTCAGGTATAACGCGGCAGAGAATACTATGGAAACCGAAGTCTCGCTTCGACTTGCGACCCTCTGCTGCACTGTGGTTCTTCATACCTTTCCGAGGTCCGAAGGTGGAGCCAGAATCGTATCAGAATCGTGTCCCGCTAAGGAGGCTGAAATCTGGAGGATACTGGGAGAACACACTGACTGAAAAGATGCAAATCCAAGCTCCGAGCGACCGCAGTACCTTGTGCCTCGGTGGATCTCGGCCCTCCGCTGTTTCGGATTCTGACGGCACAAGCATGGGCGAAAGACCTAAGATATGCCGAGGTTTGCGAAAGGCGAAATCTTCGGCCTCTCCTTCCAAGAGGAGTGGTACGTTTTGGCTGCTGACGAAGACTTCGTGCTGACGGCATACGTGGGCAATAACCTGCAGGACTGACACGCGATTCCAGGTTTTTGGGTTTGAGATTGCTTTCTGCTGGCTTCAGCGCGGTGCAAGTGTGGAGCAGATGTGCAAACTTGAGCGTGTTAGAGCTTGCATGTGAGACCAGCACATGTGATCACATGTCCTTGTGTTTGCCTTTGCTGGCTCTGGCATGCTCGCATGGCAGGATGCTTACAGAGGCCATCCTGATTGTGGGAATGTTCGCGCCATTCCGTCTCACATCATGCTGAGACTCCTGCATCAAATATCGAGCCAAACCAGGACTTCTTGTGACGAGCATTTGCGCAACTTGTGAAAGCCACAGTGAAGCCCAGTTGTGTTGGGTGTGTTTTCACTTGTTCCTGCTTTTGTTGCACAGGCGGCTTCGTCTATGCGAGAACGCCCGTGCTTTCTGCAGCAGCAGAAGCCAAAGTGAGGGCGGCAGCAGAAAAGAACGGATCCTTGGTTTCACTGCTTGCCTTGCGAGCTTGGTATCTCTTGTCCCATGCATTATCATGCATTTACCGCCATTTCCGGGGTCCCAGATGCTGTCATCTGCTGTACTGACAGCCTGCTGCAACACCTTCGCTAGACTCAATGATCTACACACCGAACCACACGCCTGCTAAGAAGTCTCTGGAAACGCAAACCAAAGCCATGTCATGCAATCTCTCGCTTCCCAGGATTTGAGTGGTCGCTGCTTGGCTGCACCAAGCTTTGTTGCCTGAGACATTCGGCCTTTGCCTCTAGAGAACGTGCTTCAAAAATGCGGCAGTGCGTCCGCATTGCCGGTCTCATGATTTCTAAAGAGTCGTGAGCTGTGAGGAAGTTCTGCATCATTGACAACGCTTGCCCTGCACAGCCGCCTGTTGATTATACGCCTATGTCCATGAACATGGACGAGACTTGGCGCGATCATTCCCTGCCCCAGAGTTTCTTCTTCCGAACTGGTCAAGTCGCAGCAGGCGCAGGCTGAAGGGTTCTGCGGCGGGTCTAAGAGTTCGCTGAGGACGTGCAGGACCTCTTTGAATGGTTCGCACCTGGCTCCACACGTGGTGGGACGGTGGCCTGCCTGAAGTGCCGCAGGAAGCAAGTTCTTTGCCGTCTGCAGCTCAGGTCAAGGACTCCAACTTCAATGGTGAGTACTGAGTTGCAGCCACCCCATGAATGCTCTAGGGAGACCATGGGCAAGGTGAGGGCTGTTATCGATAAGCCATCTTCGGCAGTCAGGGTAGTTGTGCGGAAGCTACGCCAAGACATCGACGCATGCGCGAGAGAGCACCAATAATCACAGTGCCGGCAGCACGAACAAATTCAACAGGCCCACATTGTCCACGAGATTCCATGAGCTTCAGCAGAATGTTTTTTTAAAGATAACGTCAGTGCAGCCTGCCATTGCGAGACATCACAACTAGGTCCTAGACAACCGTTTACCGTGGCAAGCATCCACAACTGGAGCATTGTTCCGCCATCGATCCTACAGTGCGTTGACGATTCAATCCTTGCGTCGCGGTGCACATCATATTGCCGGTTTGGCATTAGGGCCCACGCTTTGACAATTGTCGGCATAGCGGTGCTGTTTAACCGTTTCGTTGGTTCAATGACGTAACTTGTAAGTCGAGAAAGCAGAAATAACGACTGTGCAGTCAGTGTGAACGGAAGTTGTTCCACGCGCAAAAGAGTCTTACCACCAACAAGCAAGGCTCAGAGAGTGTTGGAGCCGATTCGGTTCGCATCAGTGCTTGGTGGCCAGAACACCAGGCTCCACCGCAGACAGCGAACTGCAGCTTCTTGAAGAATACGTTTCAGTTCAAACAAATTCCAGCCAAGGCTGTACGCAGGCTGTACTAGCAGGCCAAGGGGCAGTGCCGTATTCCTGTACTACCAGGTTAGATGCAGAAGGAGGCGTTTGCGCCATGGTCAGATAGAGGCAAACACGATTTCACAAGGCGGGCCAGGCTCCAGAATGGATACGTAGGCATGAAAAAACCTGTCATTTGCAAGCTGAGAGCCTCAAGAATTGGCTTTGCAACAGGAGTCTTTGCAGAGGCGTGGGCATGTATGCTGAGGCCATATCTCGTAGCCGACAACAGTGAAATCGGTTCGCCGAGAAACCCTGCAAAATGTATAAACAAGGTATGGCTAGCAAGTTCATGACTTCCTCACGAGGTTCCAGAAAAGATGTGCTCTCAGTTTTGACACCGAATGACCCGATTTGAGGAGGCTGCGGATTCAGACCCTTAAGAGTCACCGGTGGACTGCCGCAAGGAGCAGAGGCTGCAAAGACGTACCCCAGAAAACCTTCTCGAAGTGACAAAGTCGTTCACTTCCAGGGGCTTTTGAAGCTCCGCAGAGTCTCCAACAGCGTCCGTGCTGGGCATGAGGAAAAAGCAAGCTCGTTGGGCTCATGGACCTGTCCCGCTTTCGAGTGCCGTCCGGATGGCACTGCCAGGTCCATGAGCGGTGTTCACGCCTCGTGCGTGGAGCAGCTCTGCTTGCTCGCTTGGTGGCAGACGAGACTGAGCTGATCTGAATTGTAAGGAAACAGCAAACGTTGTTCCTGCTAGAAGCAGTAGCATAGTAGCATATAGTCGCCCCAGGTGCACCTGTGCCGCAATTTGCCAGGTGGATGCGGCATCAGCGCAGGGCGGGAGGCCAACGGTACTCTGAGCACTACCGTAGGCATCGCATGTGCGTTCTCCTCCACATGATCGAGAGCCCCCAAATCACAAAGCTCGCGTAGCAGAGCTTGAGTTTCGTCTTGCTTTTTGCAGGGAGGCAGTCCAAGGCCAGAAACCAGCGCATTTTTTGTTATTGGTATTATCATTTTGTTTTGGGGGGGAATTGAGCGGTTTATGCGATTTCCAGTTTTTTTTTTTTTTTTTTTGGGGGGTGGGG